CTGGAATTTCCCAGCTCTCTGCCTCAGGCAGCTGGGGCTCTTTCAGCACCTCCTCCATGCAGACCAGGTAAACTTCTTTGTCTGATCTTCCTACAGGCACAAGAAAGCCAGGTAGGCCTCTTTTGTCCCAAATTCCCATCTAAAGCTCTGGGAGGAAGGGGCTCTGTAACTCAGGGTTGTAAAACAAGTAGCCAATCTGGTATCCAAGTCAAAGATCAATCAATCCAGAGGAAGTTTAAAAGAACTCATCTTATTGGACGAGAACATGAATGGGGCAGGAATAACTCAAGGGTTAAAACTTAAGCTGCTCCTACCTGAATAGATTTACCTCTCTGGGTCCCCTCCCACAGCAGCGTGTGAGCTAAAAAATTGCTCTTCCACAAAACTCTTTGGGTCCACAATTTTATTAAGGCGGTAAACTCACCAGGCCTCCAGGGCCCCTTTCCCCATTATTTGGGGTTAGAGAGGCCAAGAAACTACTAGCTGGGTACTACCCCGGTTAACACCCTGATGATGTCACTACACTCCAGCCTGGGTGACAGAGCAAGACCCCATCTCAAAAAAACAAAACAAAACGAAAATCACAATCTAACTACAAACTTTGTAGTTATGTAAAAACAGAGGATACCACAGATAGCAATACGTATTTAAAACTACCACATAAGTTGTATTAGTTTTAAATACTCCAGTACACACTCCCTTTCTGCCTTCCCCATTTCCTTGCCCCACTCAACCCACCAAGTTTCCTTAAAAACAACAACAACAACAACAAACTCTCTCTGTCAACGGGACTCTTTATATTAGGTGATTTTGAAGATCACTTTTGTGTTATTCTCACTGGCATTCAACTTAGATTTCTTTAAAGATCATTCCCATTTGCTCTAGGCACTTACACAAACAAAAGAATGTAAGTTAAGTTACAGGCCTTTCATATTTTATTAAATTAAACCAACCCTCTTCCCTCCCCTACAATAAAAAATAACAAAGAGAAGAAATTGAATGAAACAATATCTTCATGCCTTTACTTATAAAGTCATAGACCATTTTTACTTTCAGCCAGAGAAATTATGATTTTTCTTATGATAAAATTTAATTCATTAATTTAATACAATAGAGTTGGTTATTCTTCAATTTTTCTACTCCAGGATGTTAGGCATTTGTGTTCCTGTATTAGATATCTACAGCTTTATTAAGCCAAAGTAACTCAATCATACGTGTTCAAATGTAGTTTTAATTTACCTCATAGGAACAAAATTTGAAGTTCTAACAAGTAAAAGAAGGATCTTGAGTTTACCTGCTTGACAAGCTTACAACCTTAAACAGAATCCTAAATAAGACAAATGCTTAACTGCTGTGAGAAATTCTATAAACATTTCCTGTTTATTTCTATTTTGTTTTTTATAGAGCTAGGTTAATATTGTGCCCAGTAATTTTAAACCACTGTAAACACCCTCTTAAAATAGCCGTGTTTTTGAGAAACTGTTTACAGTCTTCTTGATTTAAATTTGATTTTTATCTTTATATGTAATGAAATGGTCAAAGTGGTTTATAAACATTTCTTTCCCTCTCCTTTTGTGATAGAATCCAGCAAGTATAATTATTACTAAATATCATCATGATGTTGCATTTATTTAGCGACAGCTTGGGATCCGGGGGAAGGTGATTCATGGTAAACAGAGTTTCATAAGGAAAAAAAAAAAAAAAGAAAAAAGAAGGAAAAAACTTTATTTTCTCTCTCTCTCTTTTTATTTGCTCCCTCCCCCAAACAAACTTTCTCAACAACAACAAAAATATGCCATTCCAGAGCTTATTCCTCAACTGTATGAAGTACATCATGACAATGGAACTCTTTTTTAAGAGCTTCATCCATTGAATTCTCACTTCATTTAAGTTTAAAATGATAATGCAATGCCTGCTCTTCACCATGTCCCTGAGAAATAAGGAGTTTACTGACAATAGTGTGTAACTGTTTCTTCCTAGAAGACTAGCATGACTATTGTTTTTAAGTTGTTACATAAGAAATGATAGTGAGGGGCCCCTAAGAACTTCATAGTTGGCATAAAGATTATTTTAAGCTCAAAACCTTTGAGAATCTGTAGATGCAGACAGAAGCCTTCCCAGAACTTCCCTAAAAACAGAACTTCTAAAAATATGAGGCTGCCATAAATTCTGAATTCAGGATGGGACTACTCCTAGTGGGGAGAAGGAGAACACATCTACTATGAGTCCCCTTTGGAAAATTTTAATGCCTTACAAAGACAATCATACCTGTATAGATGAACATTATCACAAACTTTTCTATCTTCCCATTTGTTCTCCTAAAAAACCCATTTGTTTTTCCCAAAGAAACCATAGAAGCCTTTCTTCCCTCTCCCTTTCCCCAACTAAGTTAGATATATAAGCACCACATTTTAATTGCCTTTGTGATGGTAGTCATAAGTTACTCACCACTGAGTCTTTACATGTGCATTGCATTTGTAAATAAGATTTTTCTCCTGTTAGTCTGTCTTTTGTCAGTTTAATTTGCAGTCCCCTTAGAATAAAACCTAAGTGGGTAGAGGAAAAAGTTTTTCCTCCCTGGCACAGTATTTTTTACTTTTATCATATCTTTTACCAACTATAAAAAGTGTGGTTACTGTTTAGAATCTTTTCCAAAGTCTGACTCTAGCACTTAATAGCTGGATGAACTGCTTCATCTCTCTAAGACTCAGCCTTTTATTTCCATATGAGGATAAAAATATTTGTCTTGCTAAATTTTCAAAAGAATTTGAAATATCCGATTTGAAACACCAATGTACCAGGTTTAGAATTGCCATTCAGTCAGTGGTGACCTTTCGTATTCTTATTTGCTACTGAGGTTTCTAATAATATTTCCTAAGTCTTTGATTTTGATTTTTCTTCTATTATTCAGTATTACTGCCACACTTACAGCTGCGTAGAAGCTGAGTAAAAGTCATATTTTAAATTACATGTTTATAAAGTCAAAGTTTATACATGACAGAATAAATGGAAACCACTTATCATTTTTTTTCCTAATCAAGAACATATAGAAAGTTCCACAGAAGTAAATTTGTTTCATGATAAATACAGTCATTTTAAAATGAAATGTTAATAGTTATTATAAGTATTCACGAATAACATTGTTATTCAAGGAAAAATATTAGCATAAGGAAGACATTTGGGTTTTACATGTCTCTTGATTTGAAATTATGAGTGCTTTAGATTCATATAGTTTTAGAAATGCATAATGCCCTAATATCACACATTCAACTTTCATGAGTAAAACTGAAAAAGGGACTATTTAAAGTCTCCTATCAACCATGTAACATTATCTACACTAAATCACAGAAAACAAATATCTAGTGGCTATCATAAAGGAAACACTATACTTAAATTGTTTCCACTTGAATTCTAAGACTTTATGACTCCAAGGTCTCAATAATTTTTGTTCCAAATACTATTCCACAGTATAGACAATAACACATTTACATTAAGAGAAACCTAATTACAGAGTGTTCTCAGAAATCATAGAATGTTACAGATTTAATATAATGAATAATTTTTCTAGTTTAGAAATTTTAAAGAGATTAATCTTTGTGAAATGCAAGAAAGGACTAAGGGGAAAAAGTGTGAACTCTCAAAAATGTGTCATTATTTTTAGATTAGATATTCTTCAGTGGTCACAAGGTTAAGCTTTTAAGGACACAAAATAATACCAGATAAATTTCTCTGTCTTATGTCCTTAAGGGCTTAGCTTTGCGACCATGTTTGGGATATTTTCTCTTGGCTTCTACCATCTGGAGGACAGGAATTTTGAGCTTCATGTCAGTTACCCCTAAAAATTATCTTGAACAAGTAAAAGTCTTTGCAAGCTCAAAATTGGCTTCTCAAGGCTCCTGGGAAAAGTATTAGAAACTGCCCAATTCTGTGTAGCTCAGTAGTTAAGCCTTTATCTTTTGACATTGGTGGCATAGGTTTAATTCTTGGCTTCTGGAAAGGTTTGTTTCTGGTCTGTTATTTGTATAACTTTGCCATTTACTGAGGTTTAGTCCCCTGCTATGGAGAGCTCCTGATTTCCTGTCCTGAATTTTCCTTTCTCCAAACTACCCTTGGGGAGATCCCAAATCTTGTAAAAAAAGAAATTCCTTACCATTTCTTTGAAGCACCTGAGACGTTACCTTTGGTAAAGTTCAAAAGCCAGAAATATTTGCTATTTGATACGGCTAAAGTCAGGTAATAAAAGATCCAAAGGAATTTTTTTTTTTCTTTAAAGAGCTCTATGGTTAAATGTCAGCTTAATTAAAATTGGATAAACAAGCTACAGGTATATTTAAAGGCCTTTATGTTTTTCTCTTTTTGGATTATCTTTCCCTGGAAAAAGTTTTTTTTCTTCTCAGTCAGCTGAATTATTTTTCTCCTTTTTTTTTTTTTTTTTTTTGTCTTGCCACTCACTCTTAATGCACTAATGAAAGACCCCAGGATAACTTTTGGTAGCCTGGGACTCCTTGGGAAAAACAGGAGGAGCCACAGAACGCATTTTGGAAAAAAATCTTTGTTTTCCTCATGAAATCCCAGGAATTAAAAATAGATAGATCTCTCCCAATATCTAAGGCTCTGTTCTGTTTTGCATTGAGTTATCTGACAGTTTTAAGTTTTGGGCATATCAAAAATTACTTTGCATCATGGGAAAGCTTTCAGCCTTGGTGTATAATAACTAAGTAAAAAACATATACTTTAAGAACTGGCTAACGTCGGTTATGAAGAGATATTTAGCTCTTTGTATGCTTGGATCAGAAAACTGTGCTCTTAGCCACCTTGAAAATATGGAAACATCTGCAACCCTCACTGAGAAATGAGACTCCCATGGGGATGGGCTGATTACAAAATGGGCTGATTGGCTTTGTGTTGCCTTAGAATGAAATGCATGGTAGAAGCACTGCACTGTTTTCTCCCACGGTATTTCCCCCCTTTTGAGGATCCAGGATCCAGTATAAAATGACAACCTTAATTTTGGGGAACTGTCTTTGCCTTCCAGCTGTGACTGATTATTAGATCCTAGAAACTGCATGTTTTCCTGGCCCTGTTCCTCAAAGGGCTCCCACACTGAAGCCAGTAATCCAATTAAGAAACTAGCAAACAAAAAATCTTACAACTTCTGGATCTTCTGTCTGTCTGTGAATTTGTATGTGTTGTGAATGTGATTTTTATATAAAAAGAGCTCTGAATAATTGGATTAGAAAAATAAGCACTTAAATATTTTGTTAGAAAAAACAGCAACTTTAATGCCTTTTGTTCACATGACTTTAGTATTTTTCTGGAAATAAAGACAGTTTTAAAAATTACTGGTATATTTAAAATGTCTTCAAAATTTAGACATTTGGTCTAAATTAAGATCAGGTATCAGATTTGCTAAATGTTATAAGGTCATAAACTTTTTTTTTTTTTTTGACTTTGAAATTATTCAATTTATCTACTTTAGAGCATTAAATTATAGATAAAGCCTAGGGACATATGGAGAGCCTTGCCCCCAGCTATGCTGAAGAGAGTCAAACATTATTTACACTTCTGTCTGATGTCCTAGGTTCCACACCTAGTACATAATTAACATCACTTACTTATCAGATTTTCACCAAAAATGAAAGTTACTATGAGTTAACACTGTAACATGGAATTGAGACTACTGGAGAAAGAGTTTTACATACATGGTTGTGTAAGGAATGTAGAATGTGTTTTTGGTAAAAGATTATATGAAGGCATAGGACTATGGCTTTTGTTAAAAGGAGTATAATTTTGTCTACTTCAGAGGAATTTAAAGATTGTCTTAACCTAAAATAGTAACGGGAAAAAACAAGGTTTAAGCAAGGTGAAAGGGGTTTGTGAAGGGTTGGTCTTGTAAAGAACGTTCTGTGCGTATTATCAAGTTGTCTAAGATTTGAAAAGGATTATATATATTTTTTTCTCAGGTTGAACATTAAAATGAAAGCACACTAACACAGGGCCAGAATTTGGGCCCATATGGCCAAATAATAGGGTTTTCTTAGAAAACTGATCTGCTGTTTAACAGAAAACTGTAAAGGGTTCTAAAGGTTTTTGAAAATCTTACCTTGGCTAGGCGAAGTGGCTCATGCCTGTAATCCCTGCATTTTGGGAGGCCAAGGCAGGCAGATCATTTGAGGTCAGGAGTTCAAGACTAGCCTGGCCAATATGGCAAAACCCCGTCTCTACTGTAAATACAAAAATTAGCCAGGCATGGTGACGTGTGCCTGAAATCCCAACTACTCTGGAAGCTGAGGCAGGAGAATTGCTTGAACCTGGGAGGCAGAGGCTGCAGTGAGCTGAGATTGTGCCACTGCATTCCAGCCTGGGTGACAGAGCAAGTCACTGCCTCATTTAAAAAAAAAAAAAAATCTAAAATCTTATCTTTTGGTAAAACAAATTAAAACTGGATAGTTTTTCATATAATTTTTATAAAATTTTATTAAAAAACTAGCCATGGCATTAAAGATGCACTAAGGCAAACATGAAATCTGTTTTTCTCTTTTGAATAAGATTCTTATGTGATATTAAAAGATAATGAAAGATTTTTGTTTGCTATTTGTTTGCTTTGATATTTATTAAAGACGGTGAATGGGAAAAAAGAGGAGAAGAGAGAAGAGACAGAATCAGTTGGCCTCATGCTATCTTCATGGCATTTTGTTGTTTAAAAGGCTAAGTCTCTTCTGTCAGAGTAAAGGGTTTTCTTTTTTAAAATTTTGGCCAAATGAATGACTTATGGTGACCTGAGATTCTATTTTGTGATAGTCAGTGTTTTAAGCATTTGATATTTGACAAACTTTCCAAAATAAAATTATAAATTTTGTTTGTTTCTAACCTAATCTTTTATATATTGGGTCCTCTAAAGTCCAAAAATTACATGAAGATTATTTGATATAAAAAATTAAACAGGAAGCATTGCCAAATATGAAATGGTGTTTGGCTTTCTTTGGGCTATATTTGTATACATGTTATTAGTATATGTTCCAAAATTATCAGACACTTCTATAATTCTGATATGACTTAGTGTGTTATTAATATTTATAATTGTTATGTAAAATTGTTATATATCACACAAGTAACTAAAATTCCTAATTAATTGTGGCTTTAATAATGGCTGTCCTAATACATTCTGTCATCCACTGACAATGACTGTCTTGTTTGATCCTCTTCAAAAGGTGGTTTACAATCAGATATAGAACTTTGACAGGTGCTCTTGAATGCAGGTTACCAATGATTTTTGAGATTATAATATTAGAATAAAGGGGACAACCTTTCTGGACTCTCTTGGAGAGCTGAAGTGTTCAAAAATATCAAGCGGAACAGGAGTTAATTGAATGGACTAAACTAATAGAAAACTGAAGTAATTTTTTAATTAACTTTTTTGCTTAAAATGTTGCTGATTCTTTTTCTTTTCCAGAGCCAAGAAAACTTGTTTCTTTTGAGCTATTTACAGCTTTTAAATATTGAGTAAAATATACTCCTGTGAACAAAATTTGGATTATATTTGTTTTACTCTACCTGATTTCTCCAGAATTTGGAAGCTATTTGTGAGTATTCTCAAGTTACGGCAGTGTAATTATTTGCATAAGTGCAATAAGAACCTGTTTTCTTTTGTAACAGGACACAATTGGAGAGACTGGTTGTTTACTAAGGCTTTGACTGGAATGGCATAATTTCTTTAAAGCATCAAAGTTGACTTACAGAGTCAATAAAAGCCCCTTGGGAAACCCAGTCTCAGACCTTGCCTACGTGATCCCTGTAAAAGTTTCCTGACTTGTGGTAAGTAAAAAACATCACTTTCTATCAGACCCAGGAGCCCTAAGTTGTCTTTGGACCTCGAGAGGAGAGGAATTTACCTACCTAATAGATATTAGTGGGCACAAACCAATAACTGAGCTTGGTTTTGAAAAGTCTTATCTGAGATTTCTTATGGAACACAGTTCCATCAAAGCCAGTTTTGAAAGCCTATGTGAAAAATAATTATTCTTTCTGTGCTTTGTGCAAATAATCAGGCCAAGTACAGTAACACTAAAGTTCATTTTGTAAACAAATCAGTTCTATCATGATTTGTTTTTGATAAAAACAGGGACTGGGGAGAGAAAAATTATGCTTCAAAAGAAAAACTATTGTACACCTGTTGATAGCTGTTTTTGAGTTTTGTTTTGTTTTTCTTTTCTGCAGTTTGGACTAAATCCTAAATTCTTTATGGGTTACGAGTTCCCAAAGTAATGCTTTCCAATCTTTACCTTTAAAATTGGGAATTGTACTCTTCATCCTAGTACTCATTGTTGACCTTATTGTATGGTGTTCACTTAAATACTGTACTAATATTATACATGAAAGTACTTGTGCCTTTGTCAGGCAAGCCTTGGACTCCCCGCCTGGCTCACATGAGTTTGCTCAGACAGGTACAAAGTGGTTTACTCCTCTCACCTTGGAGTCAGCTCCCATTCTCACTATACCACTGCCAGCAGGAAGAAGCCAGAACACTTGATGGCCTTTTCCCATCTTTATAGTCTACACCTTAAGATTAACATGTTTTAAAACCCAATTGAAAGAATTGAAACCGCCTTTGCAAAATTATGACTGAGACAGTGAAAGGGATCTGACCTAATCAACTCCATCTTGCTTCTTTCCTCCAAGCCGTTCTTGTTCACTGCTGGGCATGGGCTGAACTAACTTTGGGAGGAACTTAGTTTATAGTTTAAAACAAAGACAATAACAGGCCTTTCCCAAAACAAACCTCCTTCTTGTTTGGAGACTAGTTTGCCTTTGTAGGACTAACAAATTAGTCGTGAGATTAGACATTATGGTTTAGGAGTCATACAAGTGGAGGCTACAAGATTCTGACCCGCCCTAAACTGCTCCTAAAATCACTGCTTGAGATATTTTGCAGATACTGCATTGGATGGATCAGCTAGCACCACCCAGACTGGTAAACTGGCTCATCTGATCTTGTTACCCCCACCCAGAAACTGACTCAATCCAAGAAGACAGCTTCAACTCCTTATGATTTCATCTCTGACCTGACAAGTCAGCACTCCTGGCTCACTGGCTTCCCCCTACCCACCAAGTTGTCCTTAAAAATTCTGATCCCCAAATGCTCAGGGAGACTGATTTGAGTAATAATAAAACTCCAGTCTCCCACATAGCTGGCTCTGAATGAATTGTTCCTTCTCTATTGCAATTCCCCTGTCTTGATAAATCTGCTATGTCTAGGCAGTGGGCAAGGTGAACCCATTAGGCAGTTACATGTTCACCTTTACACATTTTTTAATACAAAAAAAAAACAACTGCTTTTGTAAGAACTGTGCTCCTTATTTTATATAAAATTTCAGTGCAGCCAATATTTTTTTCTAACACCTATAAAGTTGATACATAGTTCTGTTTACAATTCAGTCTTGGCATAACCAGCAAAAATAAAATAAATTTGAGGATAAAAATACAAATAAACACTTTTTTCTCTTAACTTCTATATAGCGATATCAGTTAATGGTTTTATTTTCACACGAAAACCCTCAAGATTTTGCATGTAGGCACGTCAGGAACTATATATGGCTCTACACAAACTCAATGGTCAGAAAGAGGAGAAAAGCAAGCTACCCAAGAGGCTGATGCAAGAGGATTGCTTGAGCCCAGGAGTTCAAGGCTGCAGTGAGCTATGATCACAATATTGCACTCCAGCCTGGAGGACCACCTTTTTTTTTTTTTTTTTTTAAAACAGAGACCACTTCTCTAAAAATAAATAGATAAATAAATATATAGATAAATAAAGAAATAAGAGACAGAGAAAAAGAAAAAACAATGATTCTGGACTAGTCAAGTGATTTATTATATATTCAGATTTTCCAAAAAGGTTTCAGATGATTAAGTTAGATTTTTGATGTAGTCAATCCAGTGAATCTGTGTGAAAAACACATATAAGATGATGAGGAAAGAATAGAAGGTTATCAGAGGTCCCTGTTATTGGGGCATAGAAAATAATTCCACAAAGTATGGTACTCTAGCATGCTTAGTGCTTTAAAAATTCAAATGTCGCAGAACCAAGGTCTGATGCTCTTTCTAGAAGCACTGAAAGGGATTTCTGCTGAATTTCCTTATCTGTCTAAGAAAGATTCTTTCCAAAAGAAAAGCAATTGTCTTGAGATCCCTCCCTAGGAATCTCAACAAATATCCAGGAAAAATAAACACTGGAAAAGAGACTGACACAGACTTTCATCTGTTGTCTTGGAGACAACTCTAAGAGGTTACCTGGGAGGCTTTATCTGCACAATAAGTCATAACCTGCAGGTCCCATCCTGTTTCCAAAGAGAAACCTTTACAAATTAATGTTTGCCTGCCAGGCCCTCACATCTCTCCCCTCTGAAGAGAGTATTTAAGCCCAAACTACCTGGCCCCTCTTCAAGTCTCATACATTGTATATGGCGCGTAAGTCCATATGTACATTAAATCAATCTTGTATGCCTTTTTCTCCTTTCATCATTTTGTGTTCAGTGAATATTACAGGGCAGAAAAAATGCTTTCCCTTGGCCAAATGCCAGTCTAGTGGTTTAGAACAGGTTCTGGGGTCTACTCAGCTGTCTAGGGCTTGAACTGGCGCAGTGGTCTCCTATATAAAGCTTACTCTGCAGGCTTTAGAATTTATTTATTTATTTATTTTTTGCCAGCGAGCTGAGACTTAATGCCAGCTCCCCCTTCATTCTGGTTATACTTGCCTGAGGGTTCAGTTGTGTAAAAGACAGTAGTCTTGATCAGTTCTTTTGGGAAGCTTGCACCCCTAAAGAGTCTTAGCCAGAGCCATGCTAGGTCAGCTCAGCAAGAGTTTTCCCCTACTAAACCGTAAATATTTTATTTGGGTTGGCTATTAAAATATCTTCCCCATCACCTGGATACCTTAATGAATTATCCAGTCATTCAGGTCAATGGGACAGTCTAGAGACTAATGTGTCAATTGACCACTAGTGTCCACTGGGAGTAAATCTCAGAGACAGTCTATGCCAGTTATAAATGCATCAGAGAAGCCAGACATTGAAATTTCATTTTTTAACAGTACCAGGGCTTTTAAATTTAGAATGTTAGGAATACCCACTACACCTCTCCTGCTTCACTCCTGGCTATCCCCCACTTGGCATCTTTTTCTTTC